GTGTGTGTGTGTGTGTGTGTGTGTGTGTCCTGCCCCACCCTCATCTGTGGGAAGGACCTGGTGCGTGCATGTGCTCTGAACTGCCCCGCCCACCGTCAGAACCCAGAAGGGAAGTGTGCTCACCGAGGTCTTCTGTCCACAGGGTCATTCCAGCTTCATCACTCACCTGGACTGGTCTTCAAACTCGCAGTTCCTCGTGTCGAATTCCGGGGACTACGAAATCCTCTACTGTGAGTAGCTCCGCCGTGCCATCTGGGGTCGGGTCGTGTAGTGTGTACCTCCAGTGGCAGCCGACATGAAGACAGGGCTGACGTCTGAGAAAGAGGCGAGCCGGGCTGGCTGGGCCACCTGGACAGGGGGTCCTCCGGGACCCAGAGGGCGGCCTCACCACCAGCGCGTCCACCACACTTCTCGTCAGATGGCGAAGGGTCACACTCGTGGGGATGCAGCCCACTTACAGATGAACCTGAGACAGGTGCTCGCCCCAGCCTAGCTGCGGGAATCCCCTGCACCCCTGAGCTGCCCCGAGATAGTCAGGGCTGCACGTCTACACAGCCTGCCTCGATCTAACCACTGGAATCCCCTGCACACCCCTGAGCCAGCCCCCTCCACTGGGGAAGAGGCCATGTGGTCTCCTCCTGCCTCCCTCTAAAGTCCCACTGGTTTTCAGGGACAGTCTTGCATCTGGACTCTTCTCAGACACTGTCTCGTAGTCCACTAGTGAGAGGGTATTTGTAGAAGAAAGACCCTCTGGGGACGTGGTGGGCCTGGTTTCCACACTGACTCGGAGCTGAGGGGGAGGGCAGGAGGATGTGTGCCGTGTTCAGGTGTGTGTAGGATTTATGTGAGGTGCTTGGGGGGTGTGTATGATACATGTGCATATGGTGTTAGCACATGTATTATACTGATGTGAGTGTACGTAGGAAGTCTGTGTGTGGTGTTTTTGTGTGTGTTTGTTGTTTGTGGGGGTGTTGTGTGTATATGATTTGTGTGGTGTTTACATGTATATGATATTTATGTGAGATACAGTGTGTGTGTATATATTTGTGTGGTATTTATGTGTGTACTTGATATTTGTGGGGGATGTTCTGTGTGTGGTGGTGTTTGGGGGGCATTGGGCGTAAGTGGTGTTTATGTATGTGATTGTGTGTGTTTGATATTTATGTGGGGGGTATTGGGTGTGGTATTTACAAGTGTATATGATGTGTGTGATGATTATCTGTATATATGGCTTAGGGGATGTGGTTTACATATGTTTATGACATTTATGTGGTGTTTGTGCATGGAGTGAGTGCTGTGTGTGTGTGTGTGTGTGTGTGTGTCTGTGTGTCTGTGTGTGTAGTGTTTATGTATGGCATACACATGGTATTCATGTAGTGTGTGTCTGTGTGACTGTGTCTGTGTGACTGTGTGTCTGTGGTGATGGGGAGGACTGGGGTGCCTGGAAGCAGAGGCAGAGCAGTTCCAGGAACTCTGGTGGGCACCAGTGGACAAGGCCCAGCCACCACAGGACAGAGAGGCTGTGGGAGGCAGCAGCAGAGAAGTGGGGGCATGCGCCTCACCCCTGGAGATGAGTGGGGAGACGTACCCTGCCAGGGCTCCGATGTCACCAGGCCTGTTTGCTTTCCAGGGGTCCCCTCTGCTTGCAAGCAGGTGGTGAGTGTGGAGACAACGAGGGACATCGAATGGGCCACGCACACCTGCACGCTGGGCTTCTGTGTGTTTGGTACGTTCTCCGTGGGTTCTTGGGCTCGAGGGTGAGACTGACCGGCTGCAGACTGGCAGTTCTCAGCCTTCTCTGAGCTCCCAGGTTCAGTGCACAGACTGAAGGTGTGTGATGAGCCGCACAGCAAGCCTACCAGCGCTGCTTTTCCACAGAGCTCGCGTCGCGCTGCTCCACTCTGGCCTGTTCATAACACTGTGGCTCACTTCAGAGACGGGCTATTGAGAACTCACAGATGCTGTCACATTACACTGCACTGACAGATACAGTGTCTCCTCAGAGCAGGGCGGGTTAGTGCACTCACAGATACAGTGTCTCCTCAGAGCAGGGCGGGTTAGTGCACTCACAGATACAGGGTCACCTCAGAGCAGGACGGGTTAGTGCACTCACAGATACAGTGCGGGTTAGTGCACTCACAGATACAGGGTCACCTCAGAGCAGGGCGGGTTAGTGCACTCACAGATACAGTGCCTCCTCAGAGCAGGACAGGTTAGTGCACTCACAGATACAGTGTCTCTTCAGAGCACAAAAGTTGGATGTTGTACAACTTTTTATTCACTGTAAAACCAGAAAGTCCATGTGACCACTTGACTGCAGTCTCTGCGTTATTGCAATGGCCAGGAACCGAACCCCAGTCCCCGAGGTCTGCCTGTGGTCACTGGCTCTGTACCAGCCCCACAGCACACTCCCTGAGCTCCAGGGTGGGGGCGTGGGGGGACAGGGCTCTAGCTGGGGGGAGGGCCAGAGAGGGGGCTCTTTAGCCTCCTTCTACAGCAGGAAATGATCTGAGATGATCTAGAATTTCCTCACATCGGTGTGTGCACTTGATCTCAACAGACCAAGAGAGTTGTTTGCCTTTTTTTAGGGTTTTTGTTTTTCTTTTTGGTGGTAGTGGTAGGGGAGTGTACTTCAATATTTAAATTGTTTACAAATTGTACTTATAAGTGACCTCAAGCACGTTTCCGCGGTTCAGCCGCTTAAAGCAGGGGCTGTCATTATGATCTCTCTTCTGACAGCCCAAAGTCAGTGAGGTGGTGAGAAATCCCCGAGACCCCTGCAGCTGGCAGCTGGAGTTGGGTCCTGGGTTTCCAGCCACTTGAGAAAGTGATGTGTGTACAACCCTCCCATGTCCGGAGTTCAGAGGACCAGAGAGTGGCCAAGACACTGGCCGCAAGCTGCCACCTAAATGTGCTCTGATACAGCTGGGCACAGGGGCCCTGGCAGTGACAAAGGACAGAGTTGTGGACATAGGTACCCGGGTGACTCAGGGCCCTAGTGACTATAAGGTCAGAGCTGTGGGCACAGAGACCCTGGCAGCCATAAAAGAGCTGTGGGCACAGAGACTCTGGTCAACAGTAAAGGACGGAGCTGAGGGAACAGAGCTCCTCATGGCAGTGCTGTGACCCCATCTTCCTGGCACTCAGTGGCCAGCCCAGTGCTGTGGCCTCATGTCCCCAGGGTCACCGTTGCTTGCTGTGATCTTTGTTTCAGGAGTGTGGCCAGAAGGCTCTGACGGGACCGACATCAACGCCGTGTGCCGGGCCAGCGAGAAGAAGCTCCTCGCCACGGGTGACGACTTCGGCAAAGTGCACCTCTTCTCCTACCCCTGCTCCCAGTTCAGGGTGAGCGCACACAGTCGGCCGGTCTCGGCCTCTGCCCCTTGCCCTGGCCCTGACTTTGGCCCTGACCCTCACCCTGGCATGGCCCTGGCCCTGGCTCTGGCTTGGTGCCTGAGAAGAAGTGCACTGAGTGTGGCTTCCATCAGAAGGTGGACGAGGCTACTCTTGCACTTCCCGGTGCCTGCATGCTCCCCATTCCCACGTACACCCCATGATCCCAGTGGTCCCCTGCACAGCCCACGCTCCTCTCCAGGGCCTGCAAGCCTTTGGGCCTGGCCTGTCCACACGGCCACTTTGTGGGTGCTCCTTCCGTCGCCGTGCTCCCTCTCCCCTGCCCGCTTCCCTCATCCTGTCTGACCAGAATGTTCCTTTCCCCAGCATCTGGCTGGCCCCTCCTGCAGCCAGTCCTTGTCCAGACCAGCCCTCTCAGCTCCTCAGGGCCAAGGTCCTGCCAGTCCAGACTCTCCAAGGGCAGGGATCTCAAGTCCCTCCTGTGTCCTGTGCAGCCCTGGCCGCGGACACTCACTCTGTTAGCAGCTGACACTTCCCACCACATGTGCGCCCTACAGATGTAGCCCGGCTGTGGTCAGGTGCTGTCAGGCCAGCTTCGACCACAGGACTCATGACAATAGGACAAAATTCTGGTGCCACGCTGTCCTCACGGGCTCTGCGTAAGCCCGCTGTCGTAGGCACTGGGCCCTCTCACTGAGGGTCTCCCTCTTCTTCACGACCCTCTGCTTTTCCAAGCTCAATGTTCCCCAGGGACTGAGCCCTCTGATAACACGGCCACACACGTGAGGCCGAGTCTCGGCACCGTGCGCGTCTGTATTAACTTTCCTTTTTCCAAGTTCTGTTCATGCCTTCCCCGTGCAGTGGGGCCCGTTGGCGGCCTCTCGGGGTGGGGGGGGCAGCGAGGGCACGGCCAGGCCCATCCACTTTGTCTACATCTTCTCTCTGCTGTTCTTTCACAGGCACCAAGCCACGTGTACAGCGGCCACAGCAGCCACGTCACCAATGTGGATTTCCTGCACGGTGACAGCCATCTCATCTCCACAGGCGGCAAGGACACCAGCATCATGCAGTGGAGGGTCATCTAGTCCCTGTGGGACCAGGGGCGGAGGCGTGGGACTGGGCCACCCCGGAAGACACAGATGCACTACACTTGCTCACTGTGATTTCTGTTTTCTTTTCAAAATCCTTACAAACCTCAGGAAAAAAAATGTCCTCCGCCGGTCCCCTTAGCCTAGAGTCCCAGGGCGGTCAGCTACAGTCTGCTTCTCTGGCTGTCCAATGAGACAGTGCACACTTAATATAACAAGACACCAAGTTCACGTGGCGGTCGCACCCACGCCAGCACCTGGTGTGTGCTTGGGAATATCTGTGAACTCCGCCGTGGTCACAGAATGCCTTCAGAACCTTGTATATAGACTTCGCTGTTTCACACCCAGCTTGCCGACTCCAATATTTATGAGATGAGGTACTGAATCGTGGGCACTGGGATTAGACCCCCAAGGGAGAGATGGGCACAGGCGCTGGCACAGCTGGACCCGGAAGTGCAGAAGCCAGACTGCTGAGGGGTCAGTGTCCCCCCTGATGGGGGCTGGGGAGGACAGGGATAAGCAGCTGCCACCGCAGGTGTCCACACATGTCAGCAGGGTGGCCAGCACCAGAGTCCAGCGGGCAGTCCTGCAATCACCAGGTACAGTGGCCTCGCACCACATGGGCCGGCTCCCCGTGTCCCCTGCCCGCTGTCTGCCGAGGTTCTAGGCAGCGGCATGCTACGCTGTGGTACTTGTAGAGGGTCTTAGCGATTCCTGGCGAGCACGGAAGGCCCGGCGTCACTGCTGTATGCTTACAGACACTGTCTGTGTAACAGCAGAGCAAGTGTAGACCAGGTGAGGAAGATCTGGTGGGCACAGCCAGCAGCGGCTCCATGCGGGGCAGAGGCCTGGCCCAGGCAGCTCGGCCCGGCTGAAGCCAGGCCAGGGGCTGGTCTGTCAAGCATTTGGTGGCATAGATTTGCCAAGAAGGCCTTACCTATCTCGATTGTCTGACAGGTTGAAATTTACTGTTTACATTGGGGAATGTATCTCGGACTTTACCACAGACTCCGCACATGCTGGGCATCTCACCTGCTGCGGGCTGGCCAATGGGCTGGGCGAGGGACTGGCCCCGCAGCCTGTGTGCTGTGTGGAGCTGTGTCCACCCGCGCCCAGAGCGGCCAGGGCCACCCGCCCGTCTTCACCATGCCGTCGTTTCTATGTCCCCTGCCCACATATATTCTATGACGAAATAAAATCGGAAAAGTGACTTTCTATGGACCTGTGTTCACACAAGCATATCAATTAAAGCATTTAAGGCTTGCTGCGACATACATGACACTGGTGCACAGCTTTGCTCTCTCACCAGGCTCGTCTAGAAATAGATTGGAGGTGGCAGATGGTGTATACACACACATCAGATTGGATATTGGCCTCATCACCATTCCAAGTTGTCATAGCAACCCCCTGTAGGCCAGAACCTGCTCTGCCCTGCCCTCTGCCCTGTGCTGCTCTGCCCCGTGCCCTGCCCTGTGCCCCTTGCCCTGCGCTCTGCCCTCTGCCCTGCCCTGTGCTCTGCCCTCTGCCCTGCCCTGTGCTCTGCCCTGCCCTGTGCCCTGCCTTGCCATATACCCCGTGCCCTGCCCTCTCCCCTGCCCTGTGCCCCTTGCCCTGCGCTCTGCCCTGTGCTCTGCCCTGCCCTGTACCCTGTGCTGCCCTCTGCCCTGTGCCCTGCCTTGCCATATACCCTGTGCCCTGCCCTCTCCCCTGCCCTGTGCCCCTTGCCCTGCGCTCTGCCCTGTGCTCTGCCCTGCCCTGTGCCCTGCCTTGCCATATACCCCGTGCCCTGCCCTCTGCCCTGCCCTGTGCCGTGCTCAGCCCACTGTGGGCACTGTGTCAGTCCAGCTCAGGAATTCTGCCTGTCTCCAGCCCTGTACTTTTCTAAGCAGGACTCCCAGCTCCAGGGCCTGATCCCTCCAGTCTCACTGCCCCGGCTTCTCAGGAGCGTCTGGCTGCACATACTCGAGACGTGGATTTGTTCCTTTGGTTTCTTGTTGCCACCGAGCTGGGTCCGACTCGTGGCTGACCCTGCAGTGAGTCTCCAAGCCTCAGAGGAGACTGCCCGTCCCTCCCACAGAGCAGGTGCACGGAGCTGAAAGCCCAGAGACGTGAGTTAGTGAAACGCCATCAGCTACAGTCTCACTCGCACTGCTGATCTTCCAGCGGGTTTCCAGAGGCTGTCAGTCACACAGCAGAGGATTATCTATCTTTCGTGGATTCACCACCCACATTTGGGTTGGGAGCCCAACTCCCTACTTTGTAGCCACCAGAGTAGCCCATGGTCTGTTCTTCGCTAACATGATTCAAGGACATCTTTCTTACTCACTGTCCAACTTTTACATACAAACCAAGTGATAACTGGGTCAGGCACACCTTAGTCTTCAAAGTGACATCCTTACTCTCCAGCACTTTAGTTGCCTATGTTAGCTTACCAAATGCGCCAAAACTGTTGCGTGGAGTTGATTCTGACTCATGCGCCCCCCCCATGAGGGTGGGTGTCTCAAGATGTAATTTGTTAGAGGAAGGGAGTATACGTCTTCCTCCTGGGGAGCTCAGGTGGACTGGAACTGTTGGCCTCTGGGCTAGCAGCCCTGCACATTACACAGTACATGCTTATGTAAATGTTGTTATGTGCCGTCGAGTCGCTTGCGACTCATAGCGACCCTATGTACAACAGCCCTGAACTCCGCTCTGTCCTGTGCCAATCGCACTGTCTCCTACACACCCATCCTGATTACCCCAGTCACTGAATCAATTCACCTCATAGAGGGTCTTCCCCTCCTGCGCTGTCCCTCCACCCTCCCAAGCATGATGTCCTTCTCCAAGGACCTTACCAAAAAAAAAAGTCATTTCACTTCAGGATTAATAAGGAGAACATAGTCAGGGAAGGAAAGGAAAAGGGGTCTCTCACAAGACTCCCCTCAAGTTCTTCATGCTTCAGTGTTTTCCAAGCTTGAAGATGGGCACGAGCACACAGGCTGCCTCCTCTGCTCATCACCGCTTATGTCTGAAATGAAACCTCACAGGTGTCTGGCATTGGGGGGGTGCGGGGCGTGGGGCCCACGCTGTGAGGCTGGATGGGGGAGGTGGAGGATGTGGGGACCACACTGTGAGGCTGGATGGGCCGAACAAGGCTTCCAGCACAGGGACAGCTGTGAGGCTGGACAAGGAAATGGGGGCCCGGCACTGAGGCCAGACACAGAGGCAGAGGCCATGCTGTGAGGCCCCGTCGCTGGGGAGGTGGGGGCTGCGCTGTGAGACTGGAGGGGGCAAACAAGGCTCCCAGAGGAGGGGGCCTGGCCCCACAGCCTCTGACCTGCTTCTCCACAGCACAGAAGCCATGTGCCCCTGCTGGCCAGCCAGCCCTGGAAGTCCCATAGACCCTGAAGGGCTACCTCGGTGGTCACCTCTACAGAAGCAGATGGCCAGGCCTTTCCTCCGAGGTGTCACTGGGAGTCAGAAAAGCTCACTAATCCTAAATATATCAGGAGAAAAGAAAGAACAAAAATCAGACCATCAATAAATAACATTAAATACAGAAAGGTAACCAATAAAAGCAGAAGTTACTTATTTTAAGAATAAATGGGATTGACAAACCTTTAACTAGACAGACAAAAGATGCCAGCTCGGGGGAGCAGTGGGTAGGGAAGAAAGTGTGCAACAATGTATGAATGGAAATCCAAAGTCTCCACAAACTTTCATTAAAATTTATAAAAAAATAAAAATTTTTAAAAATGCAAATAAAAAATAAAAATGACACTATTAAAAAGCAGCCTAGTAGAAAATCATGACAGAATATTATGAACCACTCTGTGCAACAAACTAGATAAACTAAGTAGTGGACAACTTCCTGGGAAGCACATGGCCTGCTCTCAGACGGACTCGAGGAAATAGTCTTCACAGACTCCAATAAGTGAAAAGACTGAATCGGGGATCAAAGTTAGTGAAGACTTGATACTAATACCATCCATCCTTCTAGGATCAACAAGAAGAGATAGCAGCTCGGCTCATGTTGTTGTTGTTGTTGTTATGTGCCGCCGAGTCATTTGCGACTCATAGCGACCCTATGTACAACAGCCCTAGACCGTGCTCTATCCTGTGTCAATCGCACTGCCTCTGACACACCCATCCCGATTACCACAGTCACTGAATCAATCCACCTCATAGAGAATCTTCCCCTCCTGCGCTGTCCCTCTACTCTACCCAGCATGATGTCCCTGTCCAAGGACCTGTCCCTCCTTACAACATGTCCAAAGTATGTTAGACAAAGCCTCAGAATCCTTGCCTCCAAGGAGCAGCCTGGTTTAACCCTCTCTAGGATGGATCTCAGCCCACCCTTAAGTCCTCTGAGCCTGTACGTTTTATGGGAGGACAAAGGATATGGCATTTATGTGTAAACCATGTAGTGTTTCCTTGTTCTGTTCAGACAACGCCTTGTTGCTCTGTGAGCACAAGTAAGTGTTCTACAATTCTTATTCTTGAGAGCTTGTTTGGAGGTTCTAGCAGGGGAGCTCAGCTACTTGTATACCCTTGACCAAAGGACTGTCCTCCTGTCAGGGATGGTTGACCCCTTCAACCAAGCACAGTTTCGGGAGGGACACACATGGGGCAGTGAGGGGGAAAGGGGACACCCACCTAGCCAGGCAGATCAAGCTTGGCGACCAGCGAGGTGACAGATGTCGCAGCCAGATCACCCTCACATCCAAGGAATTCTTATACTTAATGTTACTCATAATTTGTCTCAATGTTATCTACAATACATTGTGATCCACACAAATATCTTAGCATGAAGTCAATAAAATACAAATACACATCTTTCTGGTGTCTGCGTTTAGCCAAGATCCGTCTGACATCAGCAATGCTTTCTCCCAAGCCAAGGCCTCTTTGAATCCAACTTGAATTTCTGGTAGTCTTCTACTGATGTTTTGTTGGCTCCCTATTTTTTTATGATCTTCAGCAAGATTTCCTTGCACGTAATATTATACTGAAAGAGTATA